TTCCCATTTGGCAGAATTTGTGACAGTGCATCGGGTCATCTACTTTGCATGATAAAAGATGTGGCCTGAGGTTAGAACATATAAGGATTTATAGATAGTCTGGTTAGTTGATCAAAATCCTAGAAGAAGAAAGATTAAGTTTAGGGACAGAGATGCCTGGCAGAAGGGAATATATATGAATAAATGGGAATGTGTGTAAAGCATGATGATCTTTGAATTAAGTGAATACCAATCCAAGAGCTCCCACCATGGAAGAAGTACTAAACAACCAAGTAGATAGAATGGCTCAACCAGTTGATGACAGCCAGCCGTCATTGGCCATTCAGATGCTGGAACAATGGACATTAAAAAGCAGTGATGATAGCAGAGATAAAGGTTAAGCGTCAGCCCAGCACTTTCCATAATGAATCTAGCTACTACTGCCCCTGAATGTCCAACTGCCATCAAGGGAGAACAATGCTGCGCCCATGTATGGTACCATTTCTCAAGGAGGCTATATACATGATTAGCAGGTTGTCTACCCTGAGGCCCTCCTACCCTGAGAAGTCCTGTGATTGAATCAGACAGGGTAGAATTTCTGGGCACGAACTGCCTTTACTGCCCACAACATCTCAGCCAGCATCACTATCCAGGGGCTTGTTCTACCTGTGCAGGATCTCAGTACAGCACAGTAGACATGAGAGTAGGCCCATGACAAAGGGATACAGCAGTCATATCGTGTTCATGAAAATGTGGATCGAAGCAATGATGGATGAATGGTTATGGAGATGGGGATTCACTGTCTACACACCTTTGCAAGGAAGGGTTTATGGCTCCAAATGCCCAGGCCCTGTCAACCCCTTTGAGGAATTGACTCAGCTGCTGAGAAGCACAGTCTTTGTAGAGGTGCACATCCCACAACCGATCCAAGCATCAGCAAAAAGTTTCAGCCAACTCATCCCAATGAGTTAGGACCATTTTAGCTCCAGAGCTCAATCCAAATGGCCAAGTCCAACATCACAGATGCTTCAGAGCTCAACTTGCCCTGCCCAACCTTATATCCTTGCCTTTTCTTCCACAGGTGCTCATCCCAAGGGCACTGCCCAGTAAACATCTATCCTCTAAGCTCCCCTTACATAAGGTTCTCAGAGTAGTCAAATTCATAGAAAGAGAAAGTAGAATGGTCGCTGCCAGGAGCTGGGGCAGAGAGGGGAATGAGGAGCTAGTGTTTAATGGGTCAGAGTTTCAGCTGGGGAAGATGAAAAAGTTCTGGAGGGAAATGATGGTGCTGCCTTTGCAGCAATGTCAGTGTACTTAATGTTGTAGAACTGCACTTGTTCATGTTTTAAAATGCTAAATTTCGTGTACATTTTAACACAATAAGATGAGAGGCAGTGAATACAATACATGAAGGGGGAAATTTGGGAACCTCCTTGAAATTCATGCTTTGTTCCTAATGAGGAAGGCATGGGAACCAAGGTGAGCTGATTTGCAAGGAGTGGCGGGACAACCTGGGCCACAGAAAATGAGAAGCAGGGTGTCCAGCAGGTTAGAGGCAAAGAACTTGTAATAGCTACCCATCCTGAATAACAGGATAGGTGAGCCCAAAGGCACAGATGATTACCATTACATTGAAATGCAAACTAATGGGCATCTTAGGTCTCTTCCCAAGGGTTCTGTTTCTACCTCCCAAGAGCTTTTCATGGAAGGATGAATTTCTTGGGAAGTTGTGGGAGAACTGGCTAATGGGAGGATTTGGATTTGGACGGGGCCTGCTGTCTGTGTGGCAACTTCTCTGTGAGCTAAGACAAAGGATCCTTAGATTTGCGATGATGTGCTTCTGTCCACAGGAGGAATGCTGGCAAGGTGCTGAGATTTGGAGGAGATCAATAGGACACAAGAATCAGCTAAACTTGCTGGCACCGCAGCCATAGCAACAACCTTGGCACGCCCTCCACACCAAGAGCAACAAGCCACTTCAGAATCACTGGGAGCTGAGCCAACAGAGGGAACACTGAGACAAGGACTTTGTAAATCTTAAGGATAAACACCCTGCACATGAAAAACAAAGAACAACTTCCAAAGTATTTCCTTTGATTTCTTCTGATCTCCCTTAATTTAAGAAACCAGGCCCTAAAGTCTCAAGCTCAGGCCCAGTCTTTCAAAGGGAAGGACAAATTGCCCTAAAGTCCTCAACACACAGGCAGGTCCATAAAACGTTAGATCTGCCTGGAAAGACCCATTTGGAACAAAGGATAATATTCAAGAATCTTAGGGATCAAAAATAACATTAATTCTGGGAAATTAGACTATAAGTAGGGAAATTAGTTTGATTACTGAAGGATATGGAGAAAAAGTAGCTGATGTTACTGGGTTTTGATAAGTGCCGGGTGCAGAGGACCAAAGAAGGTTTCCTGAAGTGGTATCTCCTTTCCCTGACTGTGTAACTGCAAGTGATTCATTGCAATTCTAAGGATGGAAAGAGCCTTCAGAAGGTTAAAGAGTAGGACCCAAACAATTGGGCATGACAGAAGGGAGCCTCTAGTACAACCGCCTATCACAACACCAAATATGAAATAGTATCAGGGTGCAGCAGGAGTCTACCCAGTTACATAGCAAGGACATTGAAGAAACTGGGAATAACCCCATGTACCATTTACTCCCTTAACTCCCTGGTTCGACTAGTCTAAAATAGAGATGAACATTAAATCAACCTTTTAGCAATCCATGGCCACTGATGTAGCAAACACTTTCTTTTAGATCTCTATTAACTTTGGTCACCAATCTATTTTGCCTTCATTTGGACAGAATTGCGTCCTTATTGTCCTATCATTGGGATAAATTCTCGAGCACTAATAATAAAAGTAGGAATTACTTTAGTCGGAAAATTAGTAAACTATCTTTACTGTTTCTTACATTCATAAAACCAAAGGTTTTGAGTTGATACATTTTTCTCTCTCTTACCCTGAACACACTCAGGCGAACACATACAACACATGCATATTCCCACATAGCTTTACCAAAGTTGCATGTTAAACTCCTGTGCTTGCCCCACATGTCACCATTAATTTACTTAAGCAATTAAAGGGTGAACAAATAGGAGTAACCTCAGAGCATTCAGACAACAGCCAGTCTTGCTATTCAAAGTGTGGTCCATGGCCTGGCAGCATCAAGCATCATCTTGAACATGGTTTACAAATGTGAAATCTCATCTCCCTCACCACAGTGCCCCCTCACCTATGTTTAACAGATGCATCCTTTAATGAGATCCCTCAGGTGATTTTGTGGGTACTTCAAAGTTTGGGAAACACCACTCTAGACTAGTGGTCCTCAAAGTGTGGTCCCCAGGCCAGCTGTATCATTATTCCCTGGGAACATGTTAAAAATGCAAAATCTGGGGTGTGGGGAGGTAGGAGAGGGTAAAGAGGAGATAAAGGGGGACAGAAGGAAACTTGACTTGGGATGTTGAACACACTCTTACAGACCTGTACTCCCAAAACCCATATAATTTTATTAACCAATGTCATCCAATACATTTAATAAAAAAGCAAAATTTTAGGTCCCACCCTAGACATGCACATCAGAAGCTCTGCTGGGGCCCAGCAATCTGTGTTGTCCCAGGTTGGGAACTGGTGGCAGCTACTACTGTTATCATTACCATGGCTCCGCAATGATTGCTCATCTCAGGGTAGTGGTGACTTTGACAACCGTGTGGCAGAAGCCAATAAACCTCAGACAGGGGACCTACGGGGTTTGTATCTGCATAGCTTCCTAAACTCCTCTGTCAACTGACCACCAAGTTCCAGCCACAAAGCCCTTCGTTGCCATCAGGCCTCCAGACTCACCGTGTCCACTTCTTGTAAGGCTCTCATTGTCCTCTTCGCCTGGCTGGCTCGTCGTTATTCTTTAGGGCCCATCAAAAATGTCACCTCTCTAGAGAAACCTTCTCTGACTCATCCCATCAAAAGGTGTTCTCTTTTTTCTGTGTCTGCACCTCGTTTTCCTCACAGAGTATGTCACAATTTGCAATTACAGGGTCAGTTTGTCTACCATCTGCTTCCCTACTAGACATTAAGCTCCATGTTGCAGGGCCCACCTCTCTCCTGACCAACAAATTGTGCCAAAAAGTATCTTCTGGATAGCAGGCTTTAATCTGTGTTTCCTGGATAAATGACTAACTAGGAGAGAGAACAGAAAAGATACCAGACTCGGATAAGTAGATGGAGCCTTACCATTGTTACTGGTGAGGCTCCATCTACTTATTGTTACTGGCCATCACCAGGAACAATGGTCCCAGTGTTACCATTGTTCCTGGTGGTAGCACTAAGACTCATTCTTTCTGTGATCATAATGGGTAAAAGAAATGGTCTTTTCACACCAAATCAAAATAAAATGTGTGAGTTGCCCATAACGTTGGGTAATTTTCAACATTAGAAGTTCTCTAAATACTAGAGGTTTTCTCTAGGAAAGGTAAAATTTTGTCATTAAAAAAATTATATTATACAAGTAGAATAACTTTGACCTGAAAAGGAATGAAGCTGAAACATAATATAAAAAATGTTTAATTCCCTTTTGAATGTGTGTTGAATTCAATACAAATTGATAGAGCATTTTTCTAGGTCAAAGGAACCAACGTTACATTGAAAGGCAATTGACTGCAAAAAAATATAATCTATGCTATACGTTATTTTTAAAAGAAACTCAAGATCTTACTCTATCTTTAATTATTGTAATAAAGATGCCTTCTTTACAGAGAAAGACACCACGACAAAATAATGGCACTATAAAGGGATTTTTGTTGTTTTTTTCTCTTTGTAACATCTTCATATAGCAGTAAAAAATAAACTCTTTAATAAATAAATATATAATAAATATTTGCAAATGGAGAATGTATAAATAGGTCCATCCTTTAAAAAAAAATGTCCTGTCTTGATGTGGCATGTTTCATGGTCCACGTTTCACCCAGGTTTTTTTTTTTTTTTTTTTTACCTAGAATGCCATAACCTGCAAAATCCTTCAAGGTCCTTAACACAGATGAGCAGTAATCCTGGCCAGCTGTGTCGGTCCATGTCTTCAACATGAAGCATCTGTTTTTAATGTGACTTTTAAAGTAAACATATTCCAGGGAGGTAAAGCACCAGAGCAGCAAACTAGGGGGGGGGGATTCCCGTCATCCACTGGGTAACAAGTTTTCCACTTCCATCTACTAGTGAGGACCGAGCCAGGGCCCCTGGGGGAACCTAATCCACGGATAAAGAGAGATCCTGATCTATGTCAAGGCAAAATATTTTTGTTTGTTCGATTTCAATATTCCTTCCAAATTCAGTCTCCCAGTGGAAAATAGGCCGTGTACCATTCTGAATGTCTTCCTGGGTTGTTATTTTACTGTGGGAACTGTCCTAAGAAAGAATAGTTGTGGTTTTGTTCTTCAGTAAAGAAACTGTTGCACTTCAAGTGTATATCAGGATGTCCTTGTACAAGGCAGGCACTCTTTCTGGATCCACTGGTCTGGGCAGGAAATGAGTAAATTTCTGATGTCTTTTAGACCGGGCACCATCCCTTGGAGTTCCATCTTTGTTAAGTGCCACAAAATATCTTCGGCCGGTGTCTCCATGTTTATATATGTTGGATGAATAGGTGTTATACCAGTTCTCTTCAAATTGCTCCCTGAAGATGCATTCAGAAGTCAGTTTCTCCTAAAAGAGAGAAATAACTACCATTTTATAAAAAAACCTTTGAGAGAATTTTTTAAGAAAAATCTTAACTTCGTCTTTTGATTTCTTTGCTTATACTTATATCCTTGGCAAGAAAGGAGAAAGATTAAATTGTTTTTGCTTTATTTTGCTTTCAGTTCTTTGTATCTGGAAGTTTTTTCTCCCAGCAGTTCAGTTCAAAGAACTTTATTTAATGTCAATTCTCAATTTTATTTTCAAATAGTTAAACAATATTCTGAACTTTCCCAGGCTCCATTTTATTTCTCTTCTACTAGCACCACCACGGGACAGGCCTTTAGTTTCTCTCGTTCCATCATTAGATGCCCAAGTTCTGTGCAGAAAGTCTCTACTACATCCTGAAACATTTCAAGATCTTGCTAACATGCAATACCTAATGTAAACCATCACTTCAAACCATGTATTTTCACTTTATAAATTTATTAATTGCTTGATGATACATTTCCCATGATTCACTTTGATCTGGAAGTTATTATTTGGTAAATGTGGCATAAAAGCCCAGTGATTTTTTTGTCTCTCCAAAACAGACTGTATATTATTCTAAGGGATGGACCATAGTTAATTTTTTTAATCCAACACATACATGAAGTAGGAAAATTATGTGCATGTTTTTCTCCATCAATTATAATTCTACACTTAGGATGATCACACAATGTAGTACTTCTTTTTCTTCTGAGCTGACAGAAAGTCTGGAAGGGGCAAGGCTTATCCTTATAAAGGACCGATACTAAATGAAATACCACTTACTGAGATACTATAACCAATTTTTCTCAGCGTATATTGAGATTCTAACTGTATATTGTGGTCTCAGTTGAGATTTTAAAGAAAACAAGGTACCAGCCAGTGCCATCAGCTAAATCTCAAAAAGTAAATTGTCTTGGTAAATTGTTAGAGACTTTGACTTTATGAAGTGATTTCATGTGAGCAAATGGGTGGGAGAATGGCACACAATTACACTTGACCAATTTTCTTAAAATTTTATCAGCAATTGTGAACAAATAAAAAATATTACCAGTGAAAGAGAAAAATCTGTATTTTGCTGCAGACTGAGTTTTACATTATCCTATTTCTCTAATTCTTTGGTTGTTCTAAAAAATACTTCTCATATTGGTGAGATATTAACCTGAAAAGTTTACTTTAAGCCCCATATTTAAAAACATGTATAATAGGCCCACAAATGCACAACACAACTCTGAATGAGCTCATGGCTCTTATAATTATTGAGACTGCATCTGTGGTCAAACTAGTGTGGTTACCATTATCTGATGCATCTTATGGTAATCTAAGATTTCATTCATTTACTTCCTGTGTGCAAAGATCAGCAAGTAAGTGACATGTACTCAGCTATTGAAGATAATGAGTAGAGAAATTTTGCATTAAATGAATGTAAAGGTGAAGAGAATCTAACATAGCAAAAGGAAAATGCTCTCATTTTCTCTGTCTTTAGTGGAAGTGATAAAATATGAAGTAGAAAAATCCAAGATAACAGCCAGGGGAAAGTAGTGAGCTTCAGGCGGGATGGTCTTGGGATTTAGAAAATAAAACTGAGATAATGTACTATTTCCCAGACACATAGACACATACCACGATATAAATGTTTCATTTGTATATAAGCACATTTTGTATATTTCTTCAGAAATGCATTATTAGTAGATACAAAATGGATAGTCATTGTTTTATGAATTATATAATTTTTTAAAAATACGTACTGATCCATATAGCTCTCCTTTGTCATTCATTCCCAGGTACAGGCCACTGTCCACACCTCGAATACTGACCAGTCCCACTGCCACACTGATGAATTCCAGGATACCTAAATTTATAAACGAAATCATGATTTGTATTTATAAATGAAAATCTTCCAAACAGCAGTATGCCAATATTGCTACACATAACGATGTGCGTGAAAGTCCTTTGTAAACTAAAAAGTGCTGTACAATTGTCTTATTATGAAGATTCTCCTACTTTAAAGATAGGAAAACAACTAGAAAGAAAAAATGCTCTTCACGGTATAATGATAAGGGTATAAAACCTTAAACCACAGACTGACCTGGGTTTGAATTTGGACAATGCAAGTAAATTGAACTTCAGTTTCCTCATATGCAAATTGGGTGAAATGTCTCTCCCTATAGTAGTGAGGTAAGGACTAACATATGCATTTAGGCATTCCACAAATGGAAGCTATTATTATCATAAATTAGTATATCATAGAGGTGTTCCTAGTTGACTGTGTGATTTCACTAGTTAATTATAACCATGTTTTGTTAATTATTTTTTTGTGTAGTGTTTTTGCTCACAATGAATCAAGTCTGTCTCTCTCTAGCTGCAAGCAATATATCTTATATGGGCACATTAGTATTTTATAGTTTATAAGAGTATTCTATTTACATTTTGCATCTGGTCCTCAAAAACAGTCCCCTAACATTGGTATGGAGATATTATTATTGCTATTTACATATAAAGGAACATATGAAGGAACTGAGGCTCAGAAGGCTTGCTGAGTTGCCTGAGGTCATGACCTCATAGAACCCATAGCTAAGCTCCCACTTCCAAGCCCTGATCCAAAGTTTCTGCTTCAGGACACTGCTTCCTGAAGACAAGACAGTAGTTTCAAAACTTTATAGGTTATATAATATGCTGTTTTCTGTCACATGATTTTTTAAAGTAAATTTTATAATTCCAAGACACGAAAGAACTTTGTAATTCATTAAATGTGGCAGCCAAATGCCAAGAATTTAGCATGAAAATCAATTTTTCAATCAATAACTTCCTAGGATTATTTTCATTCACCAGAAGGTAAACTAGTGTCCAAAACTCTCCACTTAACACACTAAAATACCATATGAAAAAATAAAAAGGAAAACCTTAATGTTTACCTCTGCAACACTCTTTTTCTAACCTTTGGACTAATGTTTTTGTCTTGTTCTTCCCCTTAGACTTTGCTGGAAAAGTATATAGACATACTTCTGTACTTGGAACTTCCTTCCTCAATAGCTTTCTTCCTTCACCCCTTCACCCCCTCTTAAGCTCTACAAACAGTATAAATGTGCACGATTTAACCTGACTCTTGCTTTTAAGTCATTTCTTAATTTATTGTGCAAGTTTCTATTTGGACACGTGATGTTCCCAAGTCCAAGGGAAAGTACAAAATCTAGCTATTTGCTAATATGGAGGGCTCTGTTCTATCCACAGCCTAATTAATGCTTTGGCAGAAATGTAGATCCTTAATCTCTAAATGTCAATGCTTAAGAGCTCAAATGAGCTCTTTCAAACTATTAGAAGATCATGTAAAACACTAGAGCTATCAAGGATCTGAGAGCAACAATACACTACTAAACAGTCTATAAGGGGCTTGAAAGAGTCAATGTCCCTAATTGAGAGCCTAAGGCAGAGAGAAGATAAGATATAGCAGGAAGACAGGGACTTTTTAGGATGGCCATTATAATGGCAAAAATAGAGGTAGAAAGTAAGCAGCAATTAAATTTACTGCCAGGCTCATCAGTGAGTGATTCATATTAGAAATAAAAATATCAGGCACATCATGATTGGTAGAAGTAGATGTATTAATGGAGTTTCATTCAGGATATACCTACAAATGTATAATTACTTGAAGTTGTATTGACTGTTAAATTCAAGTTGAAAAGGATACTATGGCTCACGTGTAACTTAATTCTCTTTAAGGATCTGATTTACATTAAGATGCTACTCTCTTTCAAAGAACAGGAACTGATTAACTGATTAAGATATATAATAGAGCCAGTTTTCAAATACAAGAAAATATGGTTCATTTGCATATAGACCAATTAAATATAACAGATCTTATAAAGTATTTCTTTTTCTTGCACAACTAAAATCACCTATACTTTAATTCTCATCTTAAGATAATGCTTTTAAAAATATGTAGTTGTAGAAAGACAAAAAATTACATATATTCTTAGAATAATTATATTCACTATTTCAACTTTATTAAATAAAATCTAAAACTTCATGCATAATTCTGCAATGGCTTATAGGGTTGATGGGAAAAGGGTTATGTGTTTTTATGTTCTCCTTAAGGATTTTAGCCACACTTTTTAATTCTGATCCTTTTTCTCCTCAAGGAAATAGTATACCACAGAGTAATTTGTAATCATTTGATTCTTAAATGAGATTTGACAAGTCTTTCTTATTTATAATATGAGGTGGCAACTAAGCTAATTCCTTCACAAAGAGTAGACATGAAAAACTTTCCTTAAGAGGTAATCACAGATTTTAGATAGATTTTCTAATGCCCAGTGTCCCATAAAAAGACTTGGAGGTACTTTGTCTTTCTGGTATCATTTTCAAAGCCAGCCTTTTTGAAAATCATAATAAACAGGTGAGTCAACCCACAATGCAACCACATCAGACAAATCTATGGAGAAGAGGGGAGAATAAAGGAAAAGCCTTTAAAGAACTATGTTTGATCTCAGGCTAAGCTTTTTTTTTTTTAAGTAATGACTCCATGTTTATGCATTAGGTAAAGTCTTCCTACTGTACTACTGTGCAGAGAAACTCTATTACAAATACAGAGCTAACTCTGATAGGAAATTATTTTAACCTCACTGGGACCTTTCTGTCTATTGATGTGGTTTTGAAAATTTTAAATCCAGGATTCTGAACGTTTTATTTAATTATGGCCAAATCAGCATAAATTATCTAACATGTTAATTTACTTTAGCACAGAAATGAACATAAAAAACAAATAATTTCATAATTAGTAATTGAAACACTAGGAAAGAAGGCAAATAGAGAAAGAAGCATATAATATTGTCCACATTAAACACAGACTTTCTTCTTACCTACAGTTCTTTGTAGTAGATGAGGATGCCTGAACTATCACCGGCCACTAGAATGCGCTGTAATGCATGGCAGAGTCTGTGCACTCCTTTAGGCTATCAGACTAACCTGCGTTATCTTGTCTTTTTGTGGCACTAAATATTTTGTTTTGCTATGCAGCCACCCACGACAGAGGGACAAACCAGCACAAAATCATTCTCAGTCATATTTTGGCAATTACTAAGTAATTCTACAAAAGTTTAGCAAAAAAAAAGTTCTCGGAAGATAGTAATTCTGATATGCAATCTGCATTTCTTAAGGAATGGATTGAAATACCAGTTTAATTGGTGTTAACAAGTCTACAAATATTTACTGATCCCTTCTCATAGGGTCAGTCTTATAAAGAGACACAAAGTGGAAGAAGCCGCCTTCCTTGGGGAGATTGCAGTTGAATTCCAAGTGTGTTAAGAGCAGAATTTCCCAGGCTACATTTTCACAGGGGGAAGCCTGAGTATTTCCTAAGCTTAACTCCCACCTGCTTTACTAATAGGCCTTCACACATTTGTGTCCATTTCTAAATCTTCTGGTAGCTGGAGGATTTTTCTGTCACAAATGAAGGGCAGTAATTCTTTCAGGCGAGACAACTGAGCCACCTGGTGTCAGCAAAGTTCTTTAGAGCCAGAATCTCAGCCTCTTTAATTTAGAAACCACTTTCCTAGAGTGACCCAAGGTTGGCCACCAGGTCATGACACTCTTGAGTCCCATTCAGTGGGAATTGGGAAGAGATCAGTGGAAGCTGCAAACATATGGGTTTTACGAAGTTAATTTTCTAAGCCTTTGAGTGCTACCAAATGACCACCACATGCTCATTCCTGCATCTAGAGTGACAAACGCCACTCAACCCAAGATTTACACTTCTTCAAAGTTTTAATGAGTACTAGAAGCCAGAGAGGGATGAGGGTAAAACAAGGAGATGAGGACTAGATAAGAGAAGGCCATTTAGAGATGAGAGTCTCAAAGAATCCCACAGTGCTGAGGAAGGGAAAGGAAACCCAACACCACGTTGAGCCCTTTCACGTTGCCGCTGACAAGTAAATGGTATCTTTATTTAAAAAAAAAAAAAAAAAAAAAGCACCAGTGAATCTCTCCAATGATGCCCCGAGTTTGATGATCAAAAATCCTTTCAGAGTGCTAGCTCTAATATGATGAAAACTTCTGTAGTGGAGGGAAGAACTGGGATGTCAGAACCGGAAAGCGGCTTACAGCGACCACCTATGTAAACCCATCCTTGTGCAGCCAAGAAAACTAAGGCTCAGACTGGTGAGGGCATTTGCTAATCACACAGCTAGTTAGCAGTCAGAGACCTTACGGTTTCCCAGTCCAGTGCCTGAACAATCATTCGCTTGTTTCTTTCCTTTAACCCCTTCTGTTCCCAGGCACTGCTGAAGGTATTTTGAAACCTGTCCCTGGGTTTCCCACCCGTATCTTCTTTCGCTTCCCCATTTCCTCTTACGTGCGGTCAACACCAAAATCTTTGCTTTCGGGTTTCACAATTTTCTAGAGGAGTTTGGCTGAAGGACTGGGCATGCTCAGTAGCCAGGTAGGTGCTCGCTCTCGCTCTCCGTTCCCCCCCCCCGCACCCCAAATAGGACTTTAAGGGCGTACAGGACTGCTGCCAGGTGAGCCTGACAGTGGCGACGGTGCCCACGGAAGGTTCCTCTGTGACCTCCTTAGGGGATCACTGCCCTTCTCTAGGTGGACACGTAGGCGCCCGCATCCCACACCAGAGCGAGCCTCTGAGCAGTAGCCCTGAATGCGTAATCAACTGCGTAACTGTGGGGTGTGTTTGAAGAAGCTGGGTGCTCCCTGGTACTAATTTTTGTTGATTTAAAAAGCAAACAAACAAACAAACAAAAAAACAGTAGACGGTCCTGGGGAAAACCTGAAAGGAAGTAGGAGGAAATAACATGGGGATTTTTTAAAAATAACAAAACCAAAACAAACAAATTCAAAAACCTGCCTGAGAGGTAAGTAGTGCGAGCCAGACCTCAGGCTGCAGGAAGGGCTGGGACGCCAAGTGCGTGCGGAGCCCCCACCCTCTCTCCTCCGGCCCCCAGCGTCCGTCCGGAGCCACAGACCTAAACTCGGGGAGAGGACGAGTCCTCGGGTTCGCTGCGCTGGCTCCCTTCAGCCCCGGCGCGCACCTGGCAATGGAAGGGTCTGGGGGCTCGGATCTGCGCAGCCCCGTCTCCCTGCGCAGGCGAGGAGGGAGGCGGAGGGGATGGAGACGAGCCGGGGTGGGGACGCGGGTACCTACCGAAGAGGCTGTGGTCCTGCCGGGTGCCCTGCACGGTGCCGTCGGGCAGGATCTGCAGGTGGAAGCCGGTGCGGCAGTAGAGCTGCCGGCGACGCAGGATGCCGTGCAGGTGCGCCAGCTCCGCCGCCCCGGGCCCGCCGCGGGCGCCCCGCTCCGCCGCGCCCCGGCGCTCGCCCAGCAGAGGTGGCCGCTCCCCGGCGGGAGGCAGCAGGAAGTGCGAGCCCACCTGCTGGCCCAAGCCCTCCAGGCCGCCCAGGAAGCCCCCGACTTCGGTTAAGGGAGCCATGGTGGGGCCAGAGGGAGAGGCGGAGTATCCGGAAAACAAAAGACCCCCCAGTAAAAAGTGTAATGGGGACGGGGATGTGAATGAAGAAAAATTACAGCGAAACAAGTGCAAAAAGTTAAGGCCCGGTGACTCCCGTGAGGTCGCTGAACGGACTTTGCACTGAGAGAGCTCTCACTGTCTTGGAGCGATCTTCTCTCCTTGGGTAGGTGGGAGCTGGCCGCTGGCTTTGCAGAAACATCTATAGCTGCGGCTGCCGATACTGGGACAGGGGGCTGGGGCTCCCACTCCGCAAACTGATCAGATCAGTCCTGTGTACATACACACCGAGTATATAAGCAGGTCCTCTTGACATATGCTAATCAAGTCCTTTCATGCGCGCTGGGGAGGTTCTGTTTGAAATCTTAAACCGGCCTCCTCTCAACACGTTTTTGCTCTTCGGAAGTGACCAAAAGGGGCCCTTGACGGTGCTCTGTCCGTGCAGTCGCAAAAATCATTCCCACACTTGGCCAAAGCTGGCCAGCAACTTCGGAAAGGCGCAGTCAAGGCCCCTCTTTGCGGTTGTCTTTGGAACAACCTTGATGCTGCTCGGCTGCTGCTGTGCAACCGCCTTTGATGTGAGCTCCTTTGCCGTGATAGATGGCTGCTAAAAGGAGCCCAGCTTGGCAGGTATATAGAAGGGGAAGTGGGGAGGGAGGGGGGACTGGAAGGGGGGTGGGTAGGAAAGGAAAGGGAGAGAAGAGGAGGAGAATTGGACTCCTTGGGAGCTGCTGGGAGCCTGCAGTGGACAGGTGCAAAGAAAGGTAAGAGAAGGAAAAGGAAAAAAGGGCGTTACCTGAGGCTTAGACCTGCCCAGACACACATGAAAGGAAAATCAAAGCTTTTGACAGTTTAACTCGCTAATTTTAAAACACTAATAAAATGTAGAAGCATTACTCTTTCCTTTTATCATTTAGATGGGGGATTTTCTTTACATAATCAGGGTTAGGTTAGAAAAACACATACTCCCCTTCCCAGGTTCTCTTTAATGTTTATCATTACTCAGCACATGATATAACCAACATTGTCTTCTATCTAATGCATATAAAAGTTTCGAATTGTGTGCTAAGGTCATGAACTTTTAATCAATATAATAATATAATATAATGTAATCCTGAATTAGGGATTAGTAGTAAATCCAAATAGGCTGGAAAGAGATAGTTTTCATTCTCGCACTCACCCAAATGGAACATGAATGTCTGTAAGATTGTCATAAATGATGAGTGGCCTCTGGGGACCCTGGTCCAACCTAAGAGCACTTTCCTTCTTGGTTGCATTTTCTTTAAGATTAGATTTTTGGGGTTCACTTTCCATTATAAAAATAACTCATGGAAAATGGTGTTGATTCTTGATGTGTTTTGAGACAATGAAAAGCTACTGGTAAAAAATATTGTGGGAGTGTCCTGTACGTATTTGTAAAATGAAGTCATTGAAGTGAGGGAGTTGGATGCATGTCCATCTGAACTTACACGCTTGGGTTTTGGACCACTAGTGAAATGTAAGATGTTTCCAGTAAAACTTTTTTCAGTACTGGAAGAATTGAGAATCAATCACTTGGCAGATTTGTGCTCTCCCTGAGCAAAAACTTTTAGGGAATCACTAAAGATTACTTTTTCAGTCTTGTTTCATTGTCTGTTCAGCAAAGGCCTGAACCTGGGAGCACAAATCGATGTGACTGCTTTATTTTATTTGCTCTAAGTGTTTTGTTTTGTTTTGTTTTTGCTAATTAATTGGCAGGTGCTTTAAAGTAGGTAAAGTTACACCTTTTCATCACGAGGGCCCTAAGTACTGACCCTTGTGCAGCCAGGTTATAAAAGCGTCCTTGAAATGAGGGAATTACTGTTGATAGATATGAAATAAAACAAAAACACTGGCTAAAAACAATAAACAGATACATCACCTTAGAAATGTACGCTGCTAAGTCTGTTTTAAAGGTTGTACCAGGTAAACGTCACATCATTTCACCTTTCAAATAAATGCAGTCTGTCTTGTGGTAAGACCCCCAAATCCACCATAATCAAGATTTCAAAGCACATCTGTGTAAACATTATCACATCAGTGTAAAACATCAACCAATGAGCTTTTACTTTGAACCAAATCTTCTTAATTGCAGTGTTAAATCAAAGAAAGTTAGATCAAAGTTGTGTGAATCTCATAGAGGGATAACTAAAATAGCCAGTACATGCATTGATCACTTTTAAAGAAGAGATACTTAAAGGTTTAAAACAAAGATCAAGTACCTTTTAATGAGGTTTGTTTCAAGGTCTAAGTTCTGTACATCATTTAATGCTATTAATTATTCCACAATAGATATATAGCATCGTCATCTGTTCCTTGAGGTACTAGTTTGGTACAAAGTTAAATATTTTAATTCTATGAAATATTCCCTTACACTTTAAGTCTTGCTGTGTGATTTATAGCTCTAAGACTCTTTAAGTCTCTTATATTATTTATATATACAAGAAATATGGGGACATTTCACACGTGGTCACCCCAGCCCAAATACTTTCATAATGAAACTATCTTCTCTTTATACAGTTTTGGCATTTTCAAATGCATTGCCTTATTGGATCCCAAAATAACACTACAAGATAGGCACATTCCACTTTATAAGGGAAAAAATTGCCCTGGATTCTAGTTCAGGGTTTGGTTCCACGACCCAGGACCATGTCCTTAAACTTTCCACGTGCCTCTGCTGCCTCTTTTAGAAAATAAGTACAACGTACCTCCCGCCTAGCTCACTATGCCTACGGTTGCTATAAAATTTAAATGCAAAAATATTTAGGAACATGTTTTTAAAGCTAAAAAGTTTTTTCCATTCATATAAGATGCTAGACACCTTCAGTTGTTGGGAAAGTTTCTGCCTGATCATTTAACAAATGTAATTTATTTGAAATACAAATTAAATCTTTTTCCCCCCCAAACCAAACCTTTAATGTGTAAGTTTTGAATGGTGCTTAATGCCATTTTATAAAGGGCCAGAGCAGAAACAAAAAGATAAGGATTTCTTTTGTTTGCACTAGTCATGTGACAGGAAAAGATAACAGTAAAGATTTTTTTGCTCATGCTGTGATGATATCATGGGAAGTTAAATAATTTTGAAGAGTGTTTTACAAGAGTGCATTATTCAACTTTTAAGTATACACTGCAATCTAATCAACTCTCCCGATACTTCCTAGAGACCACACTTGCCTTGCTGTTCTACAAATATGTGGTACAATTTCTACTTCCACAAATGTAGTTACAGTTTTCCAGACCCTGTAATTTCTTTGTAGTTTTGCAGCAAGCATATTGTCATGAATCTTTGTTTCTACACATAAAAAAGATGCCTTTTGATACTTCTACATGTGTTCAACTTGAAAAAAAAAGAGCCGATGACTTATGACTTGTACTCCCCAATAAAATAAAAATACATTTGCCTGCATTATTTTTATTTGCAATTACAAGATATTGGCAACAACATAAATTTCCACACATAGAAAACTGATTGAGTACATTATGATAAGTTCACACAGTGGAGCATTATACAGCTGGGAAAAATGACAAAGATCTCTATAAACCAATATGGAGTATTTGCAGGACATATTATTAAGTGAAAGGAGCAAAGCTTCAGCATACTTTATGTGTCATGCATTGCCTTTCCTGTAAGAAGGAAAGACAATAATAAAATCCTACATAGGTAACCTTATTTTTTTTCCAAGAATAAACATGGAATGGAAAAACCAGAAACTAATGCAATTAGTCCACCTGGGGTGAACATGAGGAAAAGACAGTGTGACAGCTTCTGTGAGAACAACTTTTAATAGGGTTTGGACTTTTTGAGAATTCTAAACATTATAGATTTTTTTTAAAGTAAAATAAAATAAACAAGAATGAGGGGAAAACTGAATGACACCAGAAACAAACATCTTCACTGAATTCAAATGAATAATACAACCATGTGGAAGGAAATAATATTGTTTTGAAAAACGAAGTAACTTTTAAATACAGCTTGTTGGCTATATAATTAAGGTCTAAAGACCAAAGAAACATAAACAAATATTGAACTTCAGTTGCAAAGACTGTTTTTCTCAGTGGTAAGGGTTAGACTATTGTATTGTAAGACTGAACCAGTGACTGAATATATTGACAATAATGAAGAGCTACATGTTTCACTGCTAGAGAATGGAGTTACAGATATAAAAGCAGGAAAGATTAGAATGAATACTGTAGTATTGAGTTAAAATTGTAGTTATCAGTATTAACACACACACGTGTGTGTGTGTGTGTGTTAATGTGTGTGTAGGTGTGTGTTTGTCTTCACTCTGTCTAGTAAAGGGGCCTAGAAGCAGGGGTACCATGGAGACAACTGAACACACCCAGTGCCTAGATCTTTAGTTTCTCAGTTCAAACTACCACTAAAATGACCCATGGTTCCCGGAAAATATCTGGTTTGGGGACTCAGGCACCTTTTTCTTCTTAAGACTATTTTTTAGAGCAGTTTTAGGTTCACGGAAAATAAGATGATACACACTTGCCTAGCTGCCCCCACTATCAACATTCCCTGCCAGGGTGGTGCATTCGTCACAATTAATGGACCTACGCTAACACATCATCTCCCAAAGTCCAACGTTTCCATTAGGGTAGGCTCTTCGTGTTGTACATCCCAGGGGTTGCGACAGGTATACAGGGCCTGGAAGAAGTAAAGCCTGCTTGAATGTGGTTGGTAAGGTAATATGGGTGTACTTCGTTATAGTTTTAATTCAAACATTTCACCTAAAATGTCATATGGTGTGATATTGTTATGTTGCAGAATTACATGCTTATGATTTTATAATAAAAGATTGTGTAATTAAAAAAAGGGGCATTGTTGTTGCTGGACCCTGTATAATGACATGTATCCATCCTTACAGTATCGTGCAGAGTATTTCCCATGCGATAAAAATCCTCTGTGTTCTGCCCGTTCGTCCTCCCCCGTGCACTGC